CGCAGGTGAGCGCGGCGCGGGCCCGGCGCGGTGCTGGGTGCGTGTCCCTCGCGCTGTGTCGTGGCGCTGCATGGCCTTTCAGGGCTCCTGCACCCGGAGGGGAGCTACTCCTGCCACACGCCGCTTTCTGCCTGCGAACTCGGCCTTCAAATTGCTGCTCGGGGGTCACAGGCTGCCAAAAACTCCTCACCGGAGGTTGCATGAGAGTAGATGGCCTGGGGCTTGATGAAGCAAGTGCCTCTGCAAGTGTGGGCTGGACCCTAAAGCGGCCTTGCCCTGCCGTGGTTCAGGGGAGACTCTTGCGAGGGCTTCAGTGACGGTGATAGATCCATTAGGGAGTGGTAATGAATCTCAGTTTTTTAATGGATGCTACATTAGTGGTAGGAGGCCCTTGTTAAGTGAGGCTTTGCTTACAACTTAATCATTTCCCTGAACAGTTTACAGATTAAGACCTTCTCTGATATGCAGGCATATATGCTGTCCTGACAGGGTAGCAGGACTTTCCATGCTTCTAAAGTTAGGCAACAAGGCAGAGGTTTGGGGCTTTCAAACCTGTATGGACAGAATATAACTTAATACTTTTTTAAGCTTACAAAAATACTAAGTATGTAGTCTGATTAGATGTAAAAGTAGTTTAGTAATAACTGTTGGCGGATATGAAATTATTTTTAGAGCATCTTGCTTCTTTTTCCAATAGAAGTGTATACTATATTGACTTTTCACTTCAAAGTGGGTAAGAAAATGTCTCAGCTGTCAAACAGAAGGCATCCAAAATCAAGAGCCTGAATACTGCAGTCCTGACTGATCTATTTTCCTGTCTGTAAAAGCAATAAATGCTGACCTGGCTTTTGAACATGAATGCTCTGCTAGACGGTGATATACAAGTGAATATTAAAGGCACAGAACTGCTGTGATAAGAAAACTGCCCATATATTGAAAGTGAAATATCTTGTAATTCTTCTTAGCGAAGAGTCTGAAATCTCAATTGTTGAAGAACTAGCAACCATCATTTTACCCTGATGGATTACTGTTGTTCTTATATGTTATTGTTCCTATAATGCTAACATGACGGAAAGGTCAAGTTCTCTTTATGAAGAACATGAGGAAGAGTAAATGAAAAGATGCTTTCTGTGGTGCCCATCAATTAACTGTTTTTAAACCAGCATTAAGCATTCTAGTGCCTGTCTGTTCCTTAGTAGCTTATCCCTTTGGTTTACCTGTTCTACCTGCTACATCATGCATCAATGTAGAAAACTTCATGATAAAACAGTCTTTAGGTGTTGACAGACAACTACGAGATTCAGATTAGAATTCCTGCATCTGCCCAGGTAAATTACAATAGTTATGGTGGAGAGCAAAATTGCCTTCATTGGCACTGGAGTGTGCTTCTTCCATAACAGTTTAAACTTGTTGTATTGTGTGCTGCAACAACGGACAAGTAAGGACTCAGTTGTTCCAGCTCAGCTGTGGAAGCAGCAACCCTTTTAACTGCTCAATCACAGTAGTTGTGCAGTTGTCCAGTTACACTCTGTGTCTATGAGTACTGGTGCTCTAATAGATTCACTTGTGTTTTACCAAATTAACCCATTCTAGTTATATCCATCGTATGGATTTGATCGAAGTTACTGACTCCAGATTTCTCTGTTACAGAGATGAGTAAAGGGAAGATGTGCCAAGTAGATGTCTATCCAGTTTGTGGACCATCATACTAGCTTAGATTGAATTTGTGCTAATATGTTGGACTGTAAACAGGAACATTTTTGGCACAGGAGCTTGTTTATTAGAGTTGCCTCTTGCAGCAGAGATGCTGGAAGGACAGCTGGGAACTACCACTCTTTAATATGACTTAAATGTGGGAAGGCATTTAACCTCTGGGTCGTAGTTACTGTCTAAGGCAGTTCCGAAGGGCTAGAATGGCTCATGTTCATGTAAATTGCTACAAAATAGCCTTTTGGCCTGAAAATTTACGTAAACTTTGAAGTTACCAAGTCACAGAACCTGTGTGTCATGGTTCTTCTAGGTAAAAGGACATGAAACAATGAGAAATCTAAATTTATTGTGCTAGAAACATGTTCAGATGCAGGATAGGTTTGTTTGTATTTTTAAAACTGATGTGTGTGATTTTAGAGTATCACTTGGTAACCTTTTTAATTACTTATCTAAAAATTATTCTAAACCAGAAACTCAACTGATTCTCTACATCAAACTCTCCTGATAGGAGCCATACTATATAATATGAAGGCACCTGTTAGCTGTTCCTTTCTGAAATATGGAGGACTATTAAGGAATCGTATTAGGACTCCGGTTTTGTTCTATTGAAAATCACTTGCATCTACATATTTTTAACTATATCTTAGTTTAGGAGGGTGTTATTCTAGGAACTTTGGGAAGAAATACTTGCTTCAGATAATACACTACAGGCAATCACAGAATAGGTATCTTAAATCTTAAGATTTAACTCTTAACTCTTACTAAATTGTTAACGTTTTTGGATTTGTAAGGTATTTTAGACATTACTTTTCCTGCATCCTATGTAGAATAAGCGCTAAACAGGAAAATAGCTTGCATGAACTCCATGTGAAATATATATGTAGACAGACAAAGAGATCGATTCAATTAATTGTTGTTTTATAGTGAGTTTCTAATATTTTTGATTCATTTTGATGCACGTTTGTGTACTATTTCACTACTTTTTTCTGTCTATAAGAATCAGTAACTCCCAGTTTCTTTGCAACTGATTTGGGAACTTGAAGTGGGTTTAATGAGGTTATTCTTTGAGTAAACAATGAAGGCTTAAGCTTATAGTTCACAAAATTGTTATGATAATGCTAGATTTTAAAACTAATGTAGAACAAATTGGTGTTTTATTGTTTTTGCCTTCAGCGTAATGGAAGTACTGTGGATTGCATAAACCAAGTGCATATGTATTCTATGTTCCTGTGTATAATAGTTGGTACAATTAGATGTTACCCTTGTATCATATGCTAAAAGTGCATTGTATAGAGTTGACATGGATAGTTTTGCTCATATCTGAGGCCTGATTTTTTTTTTTTTTAACTGGAAGAATTGAATCTTAGAAGTAAAGAATACACTTGACTTTGGAAATCTGTGTCTGAGTTAATGCCCAGTTGACTTAAACAAGGATCTAATCTGTATTTATGATTTGGGGAATAATTATAGGTTGTTTGGTTTGAAAACAACCTACCTGGCTTTGGAAAAGGAAGTGCTCCTCACTTGATTGTCTTGGGAGAAGAGTTTACTGGAATAAAAATGGTAAAAGTGAATGTGATAATGCAAATAGACAATTAATGTTTAATAACAATCAGTTTAGTATTATAAAGTGAAAGTTTGTTTTTCAGTTATAGAGGAAGTATAGTTACTTTAAAGACAACTTCAGATTCTCTATGTCTTTCATATTGTTTTAGGAGCTACATACTGCCATTCCTCTGTTAAGGGAATATAATATGGAAATTGCTATTTTGATCTGATTGTGTATATTTAGAGAAAACATTTGACTTGAAAACAGGTTTGACAGTCAAAAAGAAGGTACTGTGTGGTCCAGAGTTCGCTTAACCGGGAGATTTTGACAAGTTTTAGATTTTTCTTTCCTCCCTGCATTAGAACTTTTTAATACTGATTATTTTTAATATAATGCTTGCTTT